GTGTTGGAACAGTGTCACGAGGACGGTTGGCATCCGGTTGAGTATTTCTCCCAAAAGGTGCCTCTCGTCAACACTCTCGACGACGCTAGGAAGAAAGAGTTACTCGCGTTCGTCACCGTTCTCAAACGGTGGCGCCACTTTCTTCTCGGKCGGCGGCGTTTTAAATGGAATACGGACAACAATCCGTTGACCTTTTACAAAACGCAAGACACGGTCACTAGCACGATCGGTCGATGGATGTATTACATCGACCAGTTCGATTTTGACCCGTGCCACATTCCCGGTCCGGCCAATCGAGCTGCGGACGCCCTCTCACGACGGCCCGACTTTTGCGCCACTGTGACCACGGCATTCGACCTCGATGACGATCTGCAGCCGCATTTCGTCAAAGGCTACAAGTCCGATCCGACTTACTCTACACTGTTCGAGGAGCTTTCATCGGATCACCCGCCGGTGAGGCACTATCGGATTTCCGACGGGTTCCTTCTCCTTCACACGAGAGGAAAGGACTTGTTAGTTGTGCCCCAAGATCGCATCTTACGGACTCGTCTTCTCGGCGAATTCCACGACGCACGACTTTCGGCACACCTTGGCGTGAACCGCACACTARCACGCCTCCGCCAGCGTTTTCACTGGCCCGACGTCCTTCACGACGTCACGAGGTACATTGAGTCATGTGCAGTTTGCCACCGTAACAAGGGTCGATCTCGAGTCCCCTTCGGCGAACTGAAACCGTTGTCGATCCCTCGGGCACCACGCCTTTCCATTGCTATGGACGTGACAGGCCCGTTTCCCCGCGATTGCCACGGCCATGACGGTATTCTCACGGTCGTTGACCGTTTGAGCAAGTATGCTCGCTTCCTTCCTTGCAAGTATCATGCTGCAGCACCTGAGCTCGCACGACTCTTGCACACCGGTTGGATTACCAACCAGGGTGTTCCAGAAGATATAGTGAGCGACCGAGATACTCGCTTCATGTCGGCCTTTTGGACTTCTCTCATGACTGAGTCCAGCACGACAATGAAGCCGAGCTCGGCTCGGCACCCGCAGACAGATGGTCAAACGGAGCGAGCGCACCAGACCGCTCAGATGATGTTGCGTACGCTCATCCGTCCCGACCAGAAAGATTGGGTTGACCGGCTTCCCGACATCGAGTTCGCCTACAACACTTCGGTGCACCCGGCGATCTGCGTCACACCATTCGAGCTACATCATGGTGGAGAGAAAGCACGGATCTTCGCTGATCTCCGTTTGCCACAGGCTGCCGACATAGACGTCCCTTGCTCTCCCGCTTCCATCCGGAAGTACCGGGACTTGCTGATCAAAGCCCGCRCAAATATGCAAAAGGCTCAGATCCGCATGCAGCAGCAAGCTAACCGACGTCGACTTCCATGTCCTTTCCGCGAGGGAGACCTTGTTTGGGTCCTCTCCGAGAAATTTGCGCTCGAGCAGGACGTTTCGCGCAAACTCCTTCCGAAATGGTTCGGACCATGGGAAGTCACTTCTGTCATTGGAGACGATCCCGCAGGTCCTTCCTTCGTGATCAACATTCCACCACACCTGACAGTGCATCGGGTCTTCCACGCATCGAAGCTGGCCATCTACACGCCACCTTCAAAGGACGAGTTTCCCGGACGTCGATCACAGGATCCGCCCTCCATGGACGGACATCAGGAAGTGGACCGAGTCATCACGCACCGCAAGTATGGCAACAAGCCAAGGCAGTACAAAGTCACATTCAAGCAATGTGCGCCTGATGACACTCGGTGGATCTCCAGTACAGATTTGCAGACCTCTGCACCCCTTATCTTCGCCGACTATGAGAAGCGACGCCTCGCTAAGGACGCAGCTCGTCCCGCCCGACCCACCCCGGTATCGGACAGACAACTTCGCCCTCGCAGGTAGCTCGGTCTTTTAAGAGGGGGAGTGTGTTACATCG